GCCTCTGTGAGGGGGGCCAGGTTCTGGCTCGTGGTCCCCGGTAAGCCCACAGATCTCCATACACATGACTGATGCCAAAGTCTGACATTAGCATACCAGCCTGGATAGCTCTGGGGATCCTCTGGGTCTCACCCAGAAAATGGCATTTCATTACATTCAATGCTGTGTTTTTTTTTTTGTTTTTTTTTTAGATGACACTAAAACTACAATAAATTATTGATTAGCCTTCCAGTGAGTATTGGACACAATATGATTGTCAGAGGTGTTGACTGACGTTCTGTGGAAGAGACCTATACCTTGGACCCTCCCTCTTCTGCCCTATACTGTACATTAACTCGGGCCCTTTTTTTGTCACTGACCTATGGGCCTCATTTACCGAGCACTGTTGAGAGGAGGACATCTCGTAAATCGAGCCTTGAATGAAATGAAAGGCACTTTTCTGATTGGGTGTGGGGCGGGGGGGCAGCAAGAGAGAGCTTCTTGTCCTTGCACTGTTTTCTCCTTCCCCATGGAGTGGTGGAGTTCATTTTGGGCAGTGCATGAGTGGGGCTGACTTGGGGGGAGAGTGGCCTCGGGCCTCGTTGGACCCTGCCAGGGTTTTCTACCCTCTGAGTGGGGCTTGCGGTTATGCGGAGTGGGGTTTTTTCCTTTTTCTCTGCGTACGAGTTGTTGGGCATCAGCCCCTTCCCGGGTTCGGTTTCTTGTCCCTTCGATTCCGTCCTATGGGTGGGTACTCTCCTCGTTTTCTCACCCTTCTCTGGGACTGAACTTCTCCGTCATGTCGGGAGTCATGTTCCCCTCGTATCAGGGTTCTGCATGACCTTTGGTCTCGGGTGCGACTGTGCCTTTATGAGCATTCGGGATTTTGTGCTTGCTTCTGTAGGATCTCGAAGGTTCTGGAAGGTCTTCGATTCTTCCCATATTATTGAAACGTCTGTCGTCTTCCGGTGAGGCTTACCTCCAGTCCTTTCTAGGACTCGTTGGTCCTCTTCTATGCTTCTTCTTGATTTTCGGTACTATCTCCTTCTTTTGTAATTGTATCTTTTCTCCATGCTCTGTCTTGGCACTGCTAATATTCTTTAAATATTCCTTGTTGGGGCTCTTCCCGCCGAATGGGTTGTGCGGTTCGAACCTCATGCGTCCTGCGCATGCGCCGTGGGAGTTTGTTTTGTTATGGACGGTGTACGCAAGTGTGATTTTCCGCATCCTTTTTTCTCAGATACTTCGCCTCTCGCTCCTCTTATCTCTCCTGTCCGGGCCCCGTAGATGCTGGGGGTGTTGGAGATTACCGATATGAGGACGACGCCTAGTTTTTCTCTGCATATGGGTGTGGGGTGTCGCATTTGCCTCTACCCTTCTCTTCTGCATGTGCGGCTCTGGCCTAATTCCGCTAGTGGTGCTCCCGGAATGTTCTCGGCTACGATGTGTCGGGACCCGTTAGTGCCCACGCTCTGTAGGTGAGTTTATGCAGTCGGGCGTCTCTTTCGGCCAGGTGCTGGTTCGTGTTTTTTGGACGAGTGTTGGGGGTTGGTTGTGGTGTTTTGTTTGGCCCATGCGTGTTTCTTCCTTTGGCCTTCCTTGTTCGTCTGTGTTATTTGTTACATGGTGGGGCACGGCCCCGTCTTTCGTAGTCTTATCTCTAACACTCATTCCTTGACCGTCGTGCAGTGCCTGGCTAAGCCCTTCCATATACATTGGCTTCTCTGTGTGTAAGTAGGTCATGACTCTTTTCGGTCCCGCTTACTGCCTGTCTTCGTTCCTCATCTTCCTTCTACGCTCTTGTTCCTTGCTGCTGGTGCTTAGGCTGTTTTTCTGGTCTTTTTCTTGCATTTTCCGTTTTTTCTCATTCTCTCCTACACATTGTTGTGTGTTTTAGTATGTGCTTCTTGGCTCTACTAATGCTAGGTTGGACTTTGTCCATACTCAGTTCCCTGCTTTTGCACTGCCCCTGTGTTCGGTTCTGGTCCTGAGTTTTCATCTAATCCTTGTTTGGCACACCTAGCTTCTGGGTTGCCCTGTATGCAGGTGATTGTAGCTTCCGTTCTTCCTCTCCTGCCCCTGCAGTTTCTTTTTGTTGGGCCGGGAGGTGCGGGGTTTCAGGCCCTGGCTCCGGCCTTTTTCTTTGTGTTCCTTTTCGGGCAGTGCATTTTTATTTTCATGTGGTTCAAGTTTTGGTTTGTTCTTATACCTTCCTCAGCATTGCGTGCTTCGTTCTGCTCTGCGGGGGCTGCGTTCGCCGCTCCTGTGGGTTGCAGTGTCCCTGCTTTTCGCTTTATGTTACGGTTTGCAGTGCTCGCTTCCTCGTTGGCCTTGGCCTGGGCCCTGGCTTTTCGTTTTTCATTGCAGTTTTGTCCTTGCTGTTTGTGGCGTCTGCGTTTGGGCATTTTCTTCTGCTGGCGGCTTCTGGTTTTTAATCCGTTGTCGGACTTGTTGGTCCTTCAGGGGTTCCCCGGGGGTTCCCCCAGATGAGACTTTCTGCTCGCCCGGGTTGGTTCTTTCCCAGCTTGCCGGGTTTGGGTTCCAGGTTTCCTGGCATGCCCTGCCAGTTGGCATTTTCATGATCTCGTGGTGTCACTTCTCACGAGTCTCACTTCGGAACCACAGTATTTTCGATCTCCTGTCGAGCTCGCTAAAATTGGGAAGTTTTCTGTACGGCAGACGTTCCATCTGGTTCCTTGCCGGCTAGGATTTCCAGCTCTGCTTGCTCGGTGTTCACACCCGAGGTTTTCCTGCAGCTCCGCCTCTTCCTATGCTGGATCTGGACTGGTTCGGTTCTGCCTCGAGTGTCGCCATTTGTTGGTGATCAGGTGGCTTCGTTGTTGGTGTCCCACCTGCGTGCTTTGTCTTGGTGGCGTATGTTTTTTTTTTGGCGGTCCTTCCTTTTTTCTTTTTGTCCCTTAGTAGGTTTGCTGCATTTTGTTGGCGTGGTCTTGTCCTTCTCTTGTGGAGGTTCAGGGCCGTCATCTTGCCACATACGGTCGCCTTGTCTCGTGTGGCGCTGGCAGAGCCGCTCTGGGTTAGTTCGGTTTTGGTGTTTCCTCTGCACCAATTTGCGAGCTGTCTCTGGCGTGGTTCACCTCTGGCCTGCTCTTGCGTAGCTTGAGCCGTCCTGGTTCTTGGATTGGGTGCTCTCTTCTCTTCTCCTTGGTTGTTGTGGCCCCTTCGGTTCTGGTTTATTTTCCGAGGCTCTTTCTTTTTGGCGTTGGCTTCTCGGGATCGGGTCGGGGTGCTTCATGCTCTCCTCCAGTGCCAGGGTGTCGCCTCTTTTGGTTCTCCTGATAGATTTGTTCGCTTGCGGCCGTCTCCTTCTTTTTTGGCGACGACTGACACGGCTGCTTTCCAGAGGGGTCCTTGGGTTGTTGATGCTTGGCTGGTCTGGCCGGTGGTGCATCATGTGTTGTGTTCGGTTGCGGCGTTTTGCCGTTCTTTGTGTGCCACGGCTGTCATGATCGGGGTCATGCTTTGGGTTGTTCCGGTTTCCCTTCTTCCCTGTTCCAGGGTGCGGTTCTCGGGTTGTCCGTGGGGTGGTTTGGTCCTGCCAGCCTGCTCTCTCTTCCCGTGCCCACATCGTTCGTAGGTCGGCTGTGCGTTTTTTCGTTGATGTTCCTGGGCCTTGTCGGGCCTGTGTGTCCTCGGTTTGCCAGTTGCAGTCTTTTATCTCTGCTTGACGTTGGGGTGTGAGCGACTTCTGCCTCCCGGGTTAGGTCCCTCTTGTTTTCGTCTTTGGGTAGGTAGCTCCGGGGAGCCGACGGGGCTCCCCCCAGAAAACCAGTGTTGAATGTAATGAAATGCCATTTTCTGGGTGAGACCCGGAGGCTTCCCGGCAACCCTCCCTCCCTCCCTCCGGTCGGTGTTTTTTTGTGTGTTTTTGATATCCAGCCTCAGAATTGGGGTGTGGATGGCTGGCATGAGGGTCTGGGGCTCCCCCTTCCCCCTCCTGGGGAGGGGGGAGCTGCTCAGACTGCGGCGGGGTGACGTGTGACATCATACTCATTTGCTCGTTTCTGTTTGGGGAGTTCTATCCACTTGTTCGGCTTTTTGTAGCAATTTTCACCAGAATAGGGGGTTTGTTTTGAGATGCCTACCTTTCTGGGTGCCAAACCCGGTCGATGGCAAACATAGAATGCTTCCAACCACACGGGGGTTTCTATAGGCCATTGCTCCTTGTGCCTCTGTGAGGGGGGCCAGGTTCTGGCTCGTGGTCCCCAGTAGGCCCACAGAACTCCTCACACATGACTGATGCCAAAGTCTGATATTGGCATATCAGACTGGATAGCTCTGGGAAGCCTCCAGGTCTCACCCAGAAAATGGTGTTTTATTACATTCAAATTAACTCGGGCCATTTTTTTGTCACTGACCTGTGGGCCTCATTTACCGAGCACTGTTGTGAGGAGGACATCTCGTAAATCGGGCCTTGAATGAAATGAAAGGCACTTTTCTGATTGGGTGTGGGGCGGGGGGGCAGCAAGAGAGAGCTTCTTGTCCTTGCACTGTTTTCTCCTTCCCCATGGAGTGGTGGAGTTCATTTTGGGCAGTGCATGAGTGAGGATTGGTTAGTTGGATCCTCAGGAGATATGGTCAGCCCCAGCTTGTTTGGTGTTTGCATCGAGGCAACAAGTGTTTTTACCCGATTTCTTTGGGTCTCTAATTTTTTTCAAGTGGTTGCTTCATTTTGATTTTTTTGCATTTAAGCTTTCTAGTGTTTTTTGGTAGATCTAATCCTCGGCTTCTTTAGCCTCGTAGAGCGAGTCAGATTCTGATACTATCTGGCGGCAGGTCATGGTTGATCTCGGAGGCCTGGTATATTTCCCCAAGCTACCATGGCTTGATCAGTTCATAGTATCAGGGAGTTTCAGTTGGACCAGCCAAAAAAATACATTTAGTTACATTCAGTGCTGTATTCAGTGTCGTCCTTCGTCTTACTACATCTATTGACTGATTAATAGTCATCAAAATATTTACATACACAATGCTTACCTTAAGTATTATTGCCTTTGCAGAACCTGGAATGATAAGGGGACTAAGAGACAATGGAGAGGTAGAAGAGAACCTGGAAAAGATGGTTTTAAATGGGAACAGGTCATTTGAAAATAGGGATAAGAGCACAGCAGCAGCAGGGAATGATGAGGAGTTGGTGGAACTTCAGTCAGAGAAGATCCATGACCACTTAGACCACTTAGACCAAATATAACGAGTGCCATAAACCTACATTTCATTGCTGTGACATCACTAGCTTTTGTCCAATTCCAGTTTAGTTGATTGTGGGATAACCTTGTATTAAATATGTGTCAAATGTTTGACAATTAAAAAATTTCTTATAACAGTGCACCATTGCACTTTTGTTCCAATTTTATATTTATATGTCCTGTATGCATACATGTGTGTATACGTATACAGTATATATTATTTATTTACAGTATTTATTGTTATTGTACTTAGATGGCGATTGATGCTAGAATGCTATAGCTGGCAAGTAGGTTATACAATTGCACTTCTTTTATCTGAATCACAATTAAAGTGCTTTTGCCCCATGTTGAAATTTTGACAATGATACAAAAGTGCCATTGACCAGAAAAATATATTAAAAAGTAGACAAAAAAAATCATGAGTTTGTTAGTTTGCCTTTTGTCAAGAATCATAATAAAGGTTAGGCTGGTAAGGTTGAGAATGTTCTAAATGGAGAAAAGTATTAAAATGAAATATCATGATAGTTGAGCAAAATAATGAAAAATATAATTATCACGAAGATATGAAATAAATGGGGAAGACGGGTGTTGAGGAAAAAACACTGATATCATGAATAATTTTAGCAATACTGCAAAGAAAGTTGGGAACACAACAGCCAGAACTGACTGACACATTACAACTTAAAGTTAATGTGGTGCAGGTAATTAGCTAAGTGAAGTTACAGGATGAGAGCTATGCTCGTGGTGTCCCGTCTCCCCAGCACTCTGTCATATAACACTTTGAAATTACTGACGGTTTTGGCCTCCACGACCTTCTCACCTAACTTGTTCCAATCATCTACCACTCTGTTTACAAAGGTGAATTTTCTTATATTTCTCAGACAGCTTTGTTTCGTTAGTTTAAATCTATGATCTCTTGTTCTTGAAGTTCTGGGTCTTAGGAATTCTTCCCTATCAATTTTATCAATTCCTGTTATTATTTTGTATGTAGTGATCATATTGCCTCTTTTTCTGCTATCTTCTAGTTTTTACATATTTAATGCCTCTAACCTCTCCTCATAGCTCTTGTCTTTCAGTTCTGGGAGCCACTTAGTGGCATGTCGTTGCACCTTTTCCAGTTTGTTGATGTGCTTCTTAAGATATGGGCACCATACAACCGCTGCATATTCCAGTTTTAACAGGTGTAGTAATTGCTACAGTACATCTATAATGTGGTGCATGTGTGTATTAATTGCTACAGTGTACTCGCCTAGTTGTGCTTGCGGGGGTTGAGCTCTGGCTCTTTGGTCCCGCCTCTCAACTGTCAATCAACAGGTGTACAGGTTCCTGAGCCTATTGGGCTCTATCATATCTACACTTGAAACTGTGTATGGAGTCAGCCTCTACCACATCACTTCCTAATGCATTCCATTTGTCAACCACTCTGACACTAAAAAAGTTCTTTCTAATATCTCTGTGGCTCATTTGGGCACTCAGTTTCCACCTGTGTCCCCTAGTGCGTGTGCCCCTTGTGTTAAACAGCCTGTCTTTATCAACCCTGTCAATTCCCTTGAGGATCTTGAATGTGGTGATCATGTCCCCCCTAACTCCTCTGTCTTTCAACGAAGTGAGATTTAATTCCCGTAGTCTCTCCTCGTAGCTCATACCTCTCAGCTCGGGTACTAGTCTGGTGGCAAACCTTTGAACCTTTTCCATTTTAGTCTTATGCTTGACTAGATATGGACTCCATGCTGGTGCCGCATACTCCAGGATTGGTCTGACATATGTGGTATATAATGTTCTGAAAGATTCCTTACACAAGTTTCTAAAGGCTGTTCTTATGTTAGCCAACCTGGCATATGCTGCTGCTGTTATCCTCTTGATATGAGCTTCAGGGGACAGGTCTGGCGTGATATCAACCCCAGGTCTTTCTCTCTCTCGGACTCTTGAAGTATTTCATCTCCCAAGTGATACCTTGTATCTGGTCTCCTGCTTCCTACCCCTATCTTCATTACATTACATTTGCTTGGATTAAACTCTAACAGCCATTTGTTCGACCATTCCTGCAACTTGTCCAGGTCTTCTTGAAGCCTCAAGCTGTCCTCCTCTGTCTTAATCCTTCTCATAATTTTGGCGTCGTCAGCAAACATTGAGAGGAATGAGTCTATACCCTCTGGGAGATCATTTACGTATATCAGAAACAGGATAGGTCCAAGTACAGAGCCCTGTGGGACTCCACTGGTGACTTCACGCCAGTCTGAGGTCTCACCCCTCACTGTAACTCTCTGCTTCCTATTGTTTAGGTACTCCCTTATCCACTGGAGCGCCCTACCAGTTACTCCTGCCTGTTTCTCTAGCTTATGCATCAACCTTTTATGGGGTACTGTGTCAAAGGCTTTCCGACAGTCCAAAAAAATGCAGTCCGCCCACCCTTCTCTTTCTTGTTTAATCTTTGTCACCTGATCGTAGAATTCTATTAATCCTGTAAGGCAAGATTTACCCTCCCTGAACCCATGTTGTTGGGTTGTCATGAAGTCTCTTCTCTCCAGATGTGTTACTAGGTTTTTTCTCACAATCTTCTCCATCACCTTGCATGGTATACAAGTTAAGGACACTGGCCTGTAGTTCAGTGCCTCTTGTCTGTCACCCTTTTTGTATATTGGTACTACATTAGCAGTCTTCCATATTTTTGGTAGGTCCCCGTTTCCAGTGACCTACTATATACTATGGAGAGTGGTAGGCAAAGTGCTCCTGCACACTCTTTCAATACCCGTGGCGAGATTCCATCCGGCCCAACAGCTTTTCTCACATCCAGCTCCAATAGGTGCTTCTTGACCTCATCTCTTGTAATTTCGAACCTATCCAAGGTCACCTGGTTTGCTGCCACCTCTTCTAGCGCCGTGACATCTCCCTGTTCTATTGTAAAGACCTCCTGGAACCTTTTGTTGAGTTCTTCACACACCTCTTTGTCATTCTCTGTGTACCTGTCCTCGCCCACCCTAAGTTTCATCACCTGTTCCTTCACTGTTGTCTTCCTCCTGATGTGACTGTGCAGTAGCTTGGGTTCGGTCTTGTGTCTATAATGTGGTGGAGGTGTAGTAATTACTACATTGTGTAAATTCTGATTCAGTATGCCCGGATACAGATGACAGTAGACTAGAAAGTGTAAAAGGACAGCACTGGCAGCTTGATAGGGGCAGACACTACATCAGTCTCCGATAGGGAGTCATACCAGAAGGACAGACATGTGCAAATTTTATGTAAAGGGCATTTGCAGACATAGATATTCTGGAAATGGAAAGGGATTAGAATGCAGCTACTATCATCCCAGAACATGATGAAATATGCTTAGGAAAGGAAAGTGTCAATTTAGATCAATATGTTGGTTTTTCCATCCCGACATGTACAAAACCTCACTCGAGGACAGAAAATGCTATGACCTCAGCTGCCCACACTTTCACATGAAAGGCACGGAATGCTACATAAAGAGTGGCAAGCAAGATAATGATTTGGAGAAAACTCAAATAGTTTTTATACCTAGATGAAAGAGATTTCAAAAGGGGGAACAGTGAGAGAATGTATTAAACTGGATGAAAGACACACTTGCATACCAGAATCACAGATACAATTACTCACCACAACAGCTACAACTACGACAGGCAACAACCCTACAACAGTCAGTACTGGTCAGAACAAATTTGTTATGTCCATGCAAAATCGACCTGCCAGAAAAGTCTCCCAGTCAAACTACCCCAAATAGAGCAACCTCGTTCATCTTTGCTAACATACAAGGACTAAAAACGAGCAAAAATCAACGTACTGTTCGTAAATGGCCTCCTCACCGAGTCAAATGCAGTATTTGGAGCTTTCACAGAAACCTCCATGCAGGGGAATTCTTGGACAGTGAGTTCTGGATACCAGGATATAATCTATACAGATGTGATAGGGTAAATAGGTCACATGGAGGAGTGAGTGTGTAATAGGGAAGACCTTGTATGCTTAGAGCTCCTCAACTCTACAAATTAGGTGGTAGAGGTACTGGGAGTAAAAATAGAGAAAATAAACTTGGTTATTATTCTAGTATTTAAACCGCCAGATGCAACTGCTGAGGAATTCGCATTACAGATAAACAAAATAAAAAATAACCTTGATAATTTGGCAAACCTAATACAGTGAAATCTTGGTTTACGACTGCCCTACCTTATGATTTTTTATGGTATATGACATCAAATTCACTGTAAAATTTGAATTGGTGTACAATATTTGCCTTGGAACACAATTTGTCTGTTAATACCTGTATGGGTTGAGCTAGCACATTGTTCTGCTGGGCGCAGCAAGGGCGAGGCACACTTAGTGTTTACAAGTGTCTTCCCCTAGAGTGATGACCGTGCTTGAATTCTTTGTAAAGAATTTCATTTTTGGTTTCTGAAGATAAAGGTTATTATATATCACGCCATGGGTCCCAAGAAAGTTGGTGGTAAAGTTTAATCGAAGAAAATAGTTGAGGATGACAATAGAGGATAAACAAGAGATGTGATGTCTTACTACAGACAATTGTTAAGACGTAGGAAAAACCAGTGTCTATAGACAGGTTCTTGGACAAAGAATCGGTGAGCCACAACCAGGTCCTAGTGGTATACCTTCAAAATGTAGGGGAGAGACAGTACCCCAGAAATGGCATCAGTGCCTGATGTTATAATGGAAGGGGACTCCCCTTCCAAACACTAACACCTCTCCTCTTTCTCCCCCCCCCTCCTCACTGTCTTTTATATGCCAACAAGAGTCCTCAATATAGGTAAGGTACCTGTACAGTATAGCAAAAAATATGAGGAGTATTCTGTATAAAATGTATTTTTAAGTTAATATTTTTGGGTTTGTGAAATGGATTAATTCAATTTACATTATTTCTTATGGAAAATTTGATTTGTTTTGTGATTTTTTGGTGTATGATCCTTTTCTTGGAGCAGATTACAATCATAAATGAAGGTACCACTGTATCTGATACTATCTTCCTAGGTAACTTCAACCTGCCTAGTCTAAGATGGAGAATAAGAAACAATAATATTATACCAGAAAATCTATCTGGACACAGCCAACCACAGATTAGAGAATTACTTAGATTCTGTGACAAATTTTCACTCAACCAGCAGATATCAGAGCTAACTAGAAACAAAAATATTTTACATCTGGTCTTCACAAACAATGAAGACATAATCAGGGACATTACGATCTCAGTTACTGTACCACAGGCTCATTAAAATGTAATGAGCATCAATACTCAGAATAGATCTAAAACATGATCAAGCAAGAGGGGTTATTCGGTAAATTCAATTTTAATAATTAAAGGATAGGCTGGGAGAAAATAAACAGGGAACTTAAAAACATTCAATGGGAAACTGTTTTAAGTACAGTACTGTAATAAAAATCCTACACAAGGAATAGAAAAAACTGACTTCTGAAGCATATAAAGTCTGTCTCAAACATGTTCCTTTGAGGAAAGCCAGAAAGAGATCGATGTAGAAAGAGAATGCTGACAACACTACAAAAGAAGATAAATAATAACGGAAATGCTTAAGCAGACACGACTTTCCCTACAAAGAAAGAATAATTTAAATGAAGATTGAAGAAATCGTGCAGAGACTGAAACATTCATGTCAGATAGAAGAAAGGCAACTAGAACAAAAAGCAGTCCAAGAAATAGAGAAAGTCAAAATATTTCTTCACATATGCAAAATCAAAAGCAAAAATCACTGCCAATATTGGGCCTATTCATATGAATGAAGGTTCATACACTGATGATGACAAAAGAAATTAGTGAAATCCTAAAAAGCAGTATGAGGATATGTTAGCACTCTAAT